GACCCTTCCCTGTCCCTCCCTGCACCCCCAGGGACAGAGCAGCCTCAGCACCCCGCTGCCTCCCATCCTTCCTCACAGCTCAGGTCTGCTTTGGGCCATTGTATTTTCCCAGATTTCTCCAATATGCTCCTGATATTTTGGATTTAAGCTAGAAATCAGAACTCTTCTTTCAAAAGTAACATATCCCCCCCCCCCCCCGCCATCTCTATGCTCTGACAGTAGCAAGCTTCTCCTTTGCCATTACAAGACTTCTTATCCCATAGATACAAGACCTTAAAATGCCATTCATCAGCATATGAATCGGACAGATATTAGCGCAAGCCTCCAATCTCCTCTCTTCTCTTACTTTGTCCTTTCCGCCTGCCTCTTTTAACCCCCTTTTCTCCCTTTCGACTGCACTCTGACACTCCTTTCACTCTTCCAGGCCAGGATCAAACTAAAGCAATGTCTGTGAATGAGATAAGGGCTTCATCTAAGCTGATTTTTCTTACAAATACTGGTTTTTCTAGAGTTACCCTGCACAGCCTCAGTTTTTGACAGTTACATGTTCATCATTTACAAACACACACTATTTTCCTGTAGAAACTTAGGTTTTCTGTAGCACCATAAAGCTGTAATTAATCTCCTAACCAGGTTGGCCATTCTGTGGCAGGGTCTTCTAACACACAAAAGAAGACAGTGGTGTCTTGCTGGGTTTAAGCACTACCTTTCCTTTTCCTGACTCCCACAGGCACCATCCAATTAGATCAGCAAAACAAACCAGCACCCTGAGTTTCACCTCCCAAATCCATCATATTCCATCAAATCTTTCCATACCTATTGCGATTCTTCTTGTTGTAGCACTCCGTGTGGGATTTTCTGGCTCAAGCACCCATGTCTTCCCATCTATTTCATCCATGGCATCCCAGAAGTCTTTCAGTGATTCCAATGCCACCAGGAACTGATTATAAATGTCCAGTAAGGAGCTCTAAGAAAAGGAGAGATTTAAACTGATTTCATGTAGTTCTCATCCACGTATCTATAATATATCTATGTATGGAACTAGATGGTCTTTAAGGTCCCTTCCCACCCAAACCATTTTGTGGTTCCGATCCTATATCCATGAAAACCAAACTGCAGGTGATTTAAGAAGTGTTAGGATCTAGTGTGTATCATGGTAGCAGAAAACCTGTGCTGAGCAACACGGTGGTGGCACCAGATACAAATACACAGAAATACCCCCATAACTAAAGTAACTTACTTATTTTTTAGACTCTCTGAAATGCAGCCTAGCAATGTTGTAACTAGCTCAAAATTAAGCAGTACAGAAACAGGTACTTAACACTGGGTTCCAAACCATGTAAACAGGGTAAGAGAAGGAGAAACCATCTCATAATCAGGATTACATTTGAGGGATTTCAGTATTTAAGAGTGGATTCTATGGAATCAGAAAGATCTTTCACTGTACAGGACAACAGAGAGAACAGCAATACGAAAGAGGTGGCGTGAAGATCACCAGTGAGCACAGAAACGGTAGGAGTGCCTACAGGGAAGGGCTTCTTCACGTAGAGCAAACACTGGGCAGCCAAGTTAACACCTTTCCAAAGGTAGGTGCCCACAGGGTACAAACCTGAATTTAGGGAACGAAAGGGAGATGAAGACCACAGCAGGAGGAGGAGGAAGGGGAGTTCTGCTTGAGTAACACCCCATATGGGCTTGAGCCTAGTTTGGAATCAGTGGAGGAGCTGGCAAGTGCCACAAGCAGAGCAGCAGCAGAATGAGGAGCCACAGGACGTGGCTCTGTGGGGAGAGGTGAAGCTATGACAGGAAAAAAGGTAGCAGGGAACTAGACGAAGGCAGCAGGGAAGGGAGACCAAGGAAGGGGGACAAACTCTTCCCCAATAACTTGTTTTCTCAAGTGGTTTGGTATTGGGAAACTTGAGAGTAGAGAAAGAGAAATTGTTTGGGAGCACCAAAGGATATGTTGAAATGGTTTAAACAGAACACAAGTGAGCAAATAAACACAGGAGCAAAAAAGCAGGAAAGACAGGAGAGAACTGAGAGGGCCCCTGCAATTTGGAGAGGGAGACACAGCAAAGTCAGCTTTGAAAACAAAGAAGCTGCAGCTAGGGCCAGATTTCAAGTATTTTTTAGCCAGATTTCAGGTATCTTTTTAGCCTGGAAACAAGTTGTTGGAGTCAAAAAGAAAAAGCAAATTAAACAGGTCTTCAAGAGGTATTTGTCTATAAATAACACAATACACACAGAATGAGTGGTTTCCTTTACTCTTCAGTAATGATGTTCTTCCTTTCTCACCTGGACAAAAAGCAGCGAATTATAGCAACATTCTCCAATGAGGAGATATGATTTTTACATGGAACAAGGTTTTAGATTCTCTGCACACATATTTTAGAAGGAAACTGTAGCTTGGAAATAAAATGCAACATTTTTTTCTCCTGCTGTTATTAAATTATATTAAAGTAGGGAAGCACCTAAGCAGGAGAGTGTGAACACTGCCAATCTCCAACTGTAATGCTTATTATCTTTAAAAGCATTTTGTTACTTTTATAATACCTGAAGTGATATCATAGTGTCAGTCACTTAACCACATCTTAGGGTATAATATCTTCATCTTAAGTACTATTATTTCCAGTATTTTAATAATTTTCACACAGTCCTGAAATGTGATCTTTTGTGCTCTGATGACACTTAAATTAATAGCATAATTTTCTGGTCCTTGCAACAGTTGCTTTCCATTTTGATTTTGTACATTTTTCTCCATCACATCCAGATAAATCCTCTAATAATCATTTTTATCTTTATCTTCTGGGAATTCAAAGGGTTTCACTAGAAAAAAGAAACATCAAGGGATTATAACCCACAGATAAGTTTTAAAATCCAATTAATTTTAATACTAATTGTAATTTTTCAATGATGTTCCTTAAAAAGGTAGTTAAATCTCTTTTTTTTCTTAATGCACTGTTCATTTGATCTTATTTGCATGCTTCATTGATGTTGCCAGCTGTCTCCTGCTATATACATCAATGCATCTATAGCTATTTAAATACATCACATGCTTGTCATGCAAACCGTGAAAACTGTAACTTTCTTTTTTATTTGATTAACCAACTAATTTTTGGTCACTGCCCAGCGCTCCTAGAAGAGACTATCAGGCTTTTTTCTTTGTCTATACTACACCGAGACAGTTGTCAGTAATGTCAAACAGCTCAAACTCTGTTTCTCAGTCACCTTTGTACAAATGCATTTGAATCTGCAGGAAATATGTCAAATGTTTGGAAAATAAGACATCCGTCATTCAGGACATTGTCAGTGGCTGCTCTGGCTCTACAGAGCATGAGCAAACCCAAACCTCTGTGTCTGCTGGGTTTCCATGCTCCTCGGGCAAAACATCCCTTCTTTAAAAAAAGAGGACATTGTGGAGTCTCATCTTTCACAACGACTTAAAACTAAATGCAGATACTACGCAAGGAGGCCCTGGAGCTGCTGCGAAGGCTGGAGCAGCTCTGCTCTGGGGCCAGGCTGAGAAAGCTGGGCTGGGGCAGCTGGAGAAGAGAAGGCTCCTCAAGGGGACACCTTAGAGCAGCTCCAGGGCCTAAAGGGGCTCCAGGAAACCTGGAAAGGGGCTTTGGACAAGGGATGGAGGGACAGGACAAGGGGAATGGCTTTAACCTGCCAGAGGGCAGATTGAGATGAGCTCTGAGGCAGAAGCTCTTCCCTGGGAGGGTGCTGAGGCGCTGGCACAGGGTGCCCAGAGAAGCTGTGGCTGCCCCATCCCTGGCAGTGTTCAAGGCCAGGTTGGACACAGGGGCTTGGAGCAACCTGCTCTAGTGGAAGGTGTCCCTGCCCGTGGCAGGGGTTGGAGCTGGAGGAGCTTTAAGGTCCCTTCCAGCACAAACCATCCTATGATTGTGTATTTTTTAATGTAGAATCTAAACCTTGTATCAGCACCTAGAGCTGGCTTCCCCTCCATTACAGCACCAAGGTCCTCAGAAAGCCTTACAGACCCAGGGCACGCTGCATCGTTTTCAAGTGGGAGCTTGGTAAGTTTTCAACAGTGCCCCTCAGCTCTCCACAGTGCCCACCACAGCAACTACACAGCCCAAAAACACATTTTCAGATTAGATGGCCCCCTTCCAAGTTTTCATATGGAGAACTAAGAGACAAAGAAAATGGTCATTTGGAATACTGGGCTCAAGATCCCTTCACCTGGCTTTAAGAGACTGCTTTTGTTAGAGCATCACCTCCTGTGACCATAGACACAGCTTCAACCACTCCACACTTCTCCACATTTCTCAACTTTCAAGTTGTGAGTGCAGAAAACAAAGAACACACTCAGTGATGGCGTGTGAAAAGGCTCTGTGAGGGACTCTCACAGAGACAGCTTGCTCTCTCCACAAGTGTATATTCAGTCCTAGTTATTCAAGACTCTGAGGCAAAAACCTGACTGATACTGGTACAAGCTATACCCACAGAGTCCTTTGGACAGAACAGCAATTCAGTGGGAATGTGGAGGGCTGTGATTCTGTGATCTTCACTTCTGAAAATGGGTGTTTGCAGAGATGCAGATAAAATGGTTATTTGACAGGAAAACAGGATGTAAACACAGCAGCTCTGATGATTCTCCAGCAGTTTTAGAGAACTTTGAGCCAAATGTCACCTCTGTGCTATCAGACTGCACGTGTCCTCCATTCATTTCAACAACTGGGAGGAGATGAAGCACTCCCTTGGTCAGTGACAACCAGGTATTCTGGACCCATCTGTTTGAGGGGAACATACCTTCTACCCTGTAGTTTTGCAACATTTTTGTTTCCATTTCTGTCCTCTGCACTCTCATCTCTCTCATCACTGGTAGCTTCTCATGCCAATTCTTTCCTGCTTTCTTTTAAGCTCATTCCAATTCAAACACTTCCCCAAGTTCAACCCTATTGCCCAGGCACAGTTTCCTTCAATGAAAGGAATATGAAGAAATGGATTAAAAAAGTCACTCTACTCTTAGTTCTTACCTCTAGCGCCATAGAGGATTGGAAGAATAAAGAGAAAGACCTGAGTCTGCACCTGCCATACATAAAGCCATGAAGCCTCTCAGTAGCTTTTAAGAAGTGCTATATGCTTGAATGGCCATTCTGCCCAGTTCCAAACATCTGCTCCAACTCCTGGATCCACTGAACATTAATCCAATGGCAGTAAGGAAGTTTCACTCAGGTAAATACAGCACAATCGATTAATGTTTGTATTTTTTATAAAAAGATAGAAATGTGGTCTTCATTCTAAGGGGCTTTTGCTAAAAATTCTTCCCAACACAAAATTTGCATATCCAAAAGTAAAGCAATTAAAGCATAATGGAAAAGGGAAAATAGCCTCAACTGCAGGTGCTGTTACCTGCTTGCCCTTTACAAATTCATAGATAGAATGCAATTTAATAAAGTGAACAGTTCCTGGATGGAAAAGGCATCACCTCAATCCCCTAAATAATGGATGATTCTTTAGATTTGTTTGGGAACTGTTTCTTTCTCACCAACAGTAGTTTAACAATCCTCCCCCTCCTCCTTAGCACAAATCCAACTGAGACACAACACTGAAATCTTTATAAACCCTCTTGTCAACCACCTCCATTCTTTGTATTTATAGATGCAAATAAAGCTGGTGCCTGTGAAGCTCCTTTGCTAAGAAAAAGCACAATTATGGTGTATTTTATTGTGTTTTCATCCAGATAACCAAAGAATAACCCCATTCATACCACTACACCTTGGAATCTTGTATCCTGGTTTCATTGCTGGCTGGCTGCATGACCTCATTAGTCATTATTTCCCACTCTCATGACTTTCATGTAGCCAACCACGTGGGCAGTGGTCAGTATAGAAACAGCACCCTGATGCGAGGGCAGCAGAATATAGATGCACTGAAGCTGCAGAACCCCACTTAGCGAGGCTGAAATGTGGAGACAGCACATTTGTCTGGTTATTTAGAAAAAGAATATAACTGAAATAAGTAGATGTTCTTGCACTTGTCATTGAGAAGCACTCTGCATTTATCTGGCACTTATAACAGTAGCAGCAGCAGCAGCATTGCCCTTGGTGCTGATTTCTTACTACTCTAAAATGTCTCCTCTGAGCCAGAATACACTGGCTGTTGCTGATCATGCTGTGAGACACCTGCACTGGCTACTAGGCTTGTCATGACGCACAAAACCCTACCATCTTCAGCTTGACATTGTGCAAGTTATAATTATTCATCCAAATGAATATGTCAGAGCAGCAGCAGCAGACCTCTCATCAGAGCAAAAGAAAAATACATCAAAACATTATCAACCCAGCAGGAAGACAGGGACCATAAGGAAAATTACCCATTTTTAATATGGATGCCATAATGCCATGTCTATTATTACACAGAGGGGAAAGGGAAAAAAAAGGAAGGGAGAAAAAACCAACCACCTAACAGCCCCTCAAGTTTAAAGTCCATGAGCACTGAAAAGACCCTGAAGTAGGCACCAGCACACACAGAGGGGTGGGGGAAAAAAAAGATCAATTACCTGAAATCTATTTCTATTTTCTTTCATAAGAGTTTATATTCTAATAGTGCAATTGCATCATTTTAGTTTTTACATTACATTTACATTACATACCAATAAATATTAAAACCTAAGACTTAGCAGTATCAAAACTTCATGTTATTTTACTAGATAATAGGTGTAGTGTGTTCTTTTTCCCTTTTAGGAACATCAATTTTAAGCACTTCAGCTATGAGGAGTGTTTCAGCACTCTCTAAGCTTAACCCTCACTTTACCACGGTGTGAGGACTGCTCACTGCAATGACTTCCATGCATTTTTAAATAAACCCAATTTACACAATGGTTACACCTATTTTTGTCCAGAAGCTTTAGGCTCATGTCACCCTCACTGATAAGGTCGATTTCCCAAAAACACCAGGCAACTAAAGCATTTCCATCAGCACAAAGCACAGGCTGCTGGTATTTGGTTCAGTATTGTAACAGTATTGTCCACAGCCAGAATTAGTATCTCACGACTTCAAAACAGGGTCTTCAGTTACATACAAGCATCTATTGTTTTCAAATAGATATAAAGATATCTATATGTGTAAAGATTTTAAGCATTAGAAAGTCATATTTTAACATGAGGTTTTCACTTGTAGTGCCAATATTAATGCACTCACTCCCATCTTTAACTTGTCAAAAAAGGCTGCTTTGTATCATGCTTTTCAAGAACACTTTACTAAAACATAAGGGCAGTTAGTAGCTTTCAAAGTACCAACAGTAAACACAGAAGAAAGGACTGTCAAGGATTATTTGAGATGTTGTTAATTTGAGGCAACATAAGTTGCAAAGCTGTAAAATTAATAAAAGACTATTAAAAGTATGTATGAAGTTTGAGGTTAGAAGTATTTGAAATCCTGCCTGTGGCATATGGATTCCAGTGCAATTTAAGGGACAAACAGTATCTGCTTAAATAGTTCCAAACCGTACCAGAGAATCAAACCCTACTATTACATGTGAAACTTATTTTTTATATATACATATATAT